CAAACCAACAAATCATCCGCCTGTTTTTAAACATTTCCCGTGTATGAAATATGTGTATCCGTTATTACAGCATATATAAATCACTAGACCGAGCTGCTCGGGGACGTGGCGTCGGCCGCGACCTGCGAGGTCTGCGCCGACTTGAGCATGAACCCTCCGACGCTGCCGCCGGCGCCGCGGCCCGGCCTGCTGCTGGAGTCCTCGTCGGTGTAGGCGTACGCGAACCCACCGTGCCGCGTCTGGTCCATGCCGGCCATCTCGTCCTCGGCGGAGATGCGCAGCAGCCCCAGCTTGTTGAGCGCCAGGAACAGCGGGCCCATGGTGCAGCTCACCCACGCCGCGATCACCAGGATCAGCACCACGTGCGCGCCCAGCAGCCGCCCTCCGCCGCCCATGAACAGCCCGTACGGCCGCCCCGGCGCGCCGTAGATCTGCTCCACGTACTCCCTGCGCGCGAACAGCGCCGTGAAGATGACGCCCCACGCGCCGCACCCGCCGTGCAGCTGCGCCGCCTCCAGCGGGTCGTCGAACTTGAACCTGGCGGCCAGCTTGTTCAGCCCGATGAGCACCCACGCCGACACGAACCCGCAGATGATCGCCGCCCACGGGTCCACCACGGAGCACCCCGCGGTGATCGCCGCGAAGCCGCCCAGGAGGCCGTTGCAGACGTCCAGCACGTTCCAGTGCCCCGTCTGGAGCCTCTTCCCGAACAGCGTCGTCAGCGCCGCCGTGCTGCCGGCGAGGGTGGTCGTCACGGCCGCGCGGCCTACCGCCGACCACTGCCCGTGGATGCTGCCGGGCGGGCCGTAGGACTTGAGGATGGTGAGGAACGAGCCGGGGTTGAACCCGTACCAGCCAAACCACAGCAAGAAGGTGCCCAGGACGACGAGCGACGCGCTGTGCCCGCGCAGCGCCACCGCTCGTCCGGCGTGGTCGAACCGCCCAATGCGGGGGCCCTCGATGAGCGCGCCCCAGAGCCCGGCCACGCCGCCGACCATGTGGACAACCCCGGACCCGGCGAAGTCGATGACGCCGGAGTTGAAGAGCAACGGCCCCGACGTCCGGGAGGCGGAGGCCCAGCCGTCGGCGGACCAGATCCAGTGGGACACCACAGGGTAGACGAAGCCGGTGAGGAAGGCCGAGTAGATGAGGTAGGCCACGAACTGCGTCCGCTCCGCGATGGAGCCGGAGGTTATCCCGGCCGCGGCGATGGCGAAGGCCCACTGGAAGAGGAAGAAGCTGTAGTCGAAGCCGACCTGGGGAACGTCACGGAGGCCGAAGAAGTGCTTCCCGATGAAGCCGTTGGAGGGCGTACCGAAGGCGAAGGCGAAGCCGAAGAGGTAGTAGAAGAGCGCGCCGGCGGCGGCGTCGAGCACGTTGGTGAGCATGATGTTCATGGTGTTCTTGGCCCGGACGGAGCCCGCGCAGAGCATGGCGAAGCCGAGCTGCATGGCGAACACCAGGTAGGCGGAGAAGAGCAGGTACGTCGAGTCGATCGCCGTGGTGGTGTCCGCGAACTGGTTGCACAGGTAGTCCGTCGCGTTCGCCGCCGCCGTGCCCAGCAGCGGCGCCAGGCTCGCGGCGCACGTCGACATCTTCGGCCGCCTTGCTTCCCTTGCCTTATGACTACTCTGCTCAAGGAGCAATGGCAGGTGCAGGTGTCTGAGAGGCGCGGCGCGAGATGGAGGTGCAAACGGAGCGGACGGATTTATAGGCGAGACGGCAGCAGCGCCGGTAGCCAACCCGTTCAGTTTCTGCTTGGGCCTACCTGCCAGTGAATATTCATTCCTACGAGCTTGACGTGTGGGACACACCCCTGTGGTTGCTTGTTGCTCTTTTTGTTCCTGGTGGTTGAAAACACCCGCATGCCGGCCGCATACATCTGGAGGACCTGCATTGTTTTTTATCCATTTGCATACTTATTTCAGTTGGGCCTGACTGAGCAATTGTAGGCTAAAATCAATATATCCACTTAGTTTGGTTGTCTGTATGTCCTCTTCCTGCATCGTAGCGATGTCTTCACGTACCGTGTTTGGTTGCTCGCATTGTATGTACTCACATGGGTGCACGTTGTTTGGTTACATACGAGCATAGAGTTGTGCTCACCTTGTACCCTACTTGGTGAGCTTACCAATACTACTACACCTTTCACACGATCACACCAAACACACCAACGCCACAGCACTGCTATGACGATGAATTGGACGAAGATGACGAAATTCTTCAGTCCTAACGGCCGACACACCTTCTTGCCAACCTCAACCTTGTTGCATGAATACTCTCGCACATATTTGGAGTAGGCATCTTCTGCCGCCTGTCTAGTCTTAAACCCTCATCTGTGGTTGTTGTCGTTGTACCTTGAAACTTGTTTGTTGCAAGCTTCTCATGAACTGTAAACCCCTGAAACCCTACCTTCGAACACCACATACCACTTGCTCGGCAGTGCAAACAAGCAATAAGTTCAAGCAACAAGCATTAGAACACACAAACATCAAGCAATGAAGAACTCTAGGAGCAAGCAATGGAGCAGAAGAGCATTAGTAAGCATGCATGACCATAACAAAGTTCAACCTAGCACTACTTTGGTATCATCCTACCACCACATCTAAAAGAGGGTGTCATCCAACCACCGCAAGTTCGTGATCACCGCAGGGATCACCGTGAGGGGTTAGTATATACCACCTCACCAAAATATACAAACCCTAAAATTGTTTTCAAGCCCTAACTACACAAAATATATGTCGTCATCGTCGTCCTTGTTGCCATCGCCGTCGAGCATCATGCACGCCGTCGCCACCAGCAGAAGCAGCACTAGTAGTAGTGCTTGCCCAGCCAGGTCTTTCGGTCAGAGCACCCTGTGGTCCGCTCCCATGGCAACAAACCCAACACCCTAGGCTTTGTTGTCCAGCAGGTGGTTGAGAGCCACCATGAGAGCCTCTGGGCTGAAGCCAATATGATCCATGATGGTGTTGTAGAGCTTAGGGTGGACGGCCACACTCTTGCTCTCCCTGATGGCGGTGGCAACCTCCTTCACTGCCTCAGTCATGCTGTTGAAGACGCTCAGCTCCTCCTCCATGAAGCTTGCCCGCTTCCTCTTCCTATCAAACACAGGAACGTGCTGACAATCCTTCTCAAGAGCATCAACGTTGACGGTGTCTAACTCCTGGGTGTCTGGATACTCCGGCATCGGTGAGCCCGGCAGCTTACCAGAGCCATGGCATGCTTGCCAGTTGCCAGTTGATACGTCTTCGTCGTATCTATAATTTTTGATTGTTCCATACCAATATTATACAACTTTCATATACTTTTGGCAACTTTTTATACTATTTTTGAGGACTAACATATTGATCCAGTGCCCAGTGTCAGTTCTTGTTTGTTGCATGTTTTTTGTTTCGCCGAAAATCCATATCAAACGGAGTCCAAACGGGATAAAAACGAACGGGGATTATTTTTGGAATATATGTGAAATATGGGAAGAAAATCAACGCGAGACGGTGCCCGAGGGAGCCACTCGTAAGGAGGTTACTGCTCTTCTTCAGCCGCAAGAAAGCTAACTTTCGGAAAAAATCAGAGCAAAGGTTTCAATGCAATCGGAGTTACGGATCTCCGGATATATAAGAAACGATGAAAGGGCAGAATCCCAGAACGCAGAAACAGAGAGAGACAGAGAGACAGATCCAGTCTCGAAGGGGCTCTCGCCCCTCCCATGCCATGGAGGCCATGGACCAGAGGGGAAACCCTTCTCCCATCTAGGGAGAAGGTCAAATAAGAAGAAGAAGAAGGGGGCTCTCTCTCCCTCTCTCCCAGTGGCGCCGGAACGCCGCCGGGGCCATCATCGTGTGACGGCGGTCTACACCAACACCTCTGTCATCTTCACCAACATCTCCATTACCTTCCCCCCTCTATCTACAACGGTCCACTCTCCCGCAACCCGCTGTACCCTCTACTTGAACTTGGTGCTTTATGCTTCATATTATTATCCAACGATGTGTTGCCATCCTATGATGTCTGAGTAGATTTTTGTTGTCCTATCGGTGCTTGATGAATTGCTATGATTGATTTAATTTGCTTGTGGTTATGTTGCTGTCCTTTGGTGCCCATCATATGAGCGCGCGCGTGGATCACACCATAGGGTTAGTTGTATGTTGATAGGACTATGTATTGGAGGGCAAGAGTGGCAGAAACTTCAGCCTAGCATAGAAATTGATGCATACGGGATTGAAGGGGGACCAATATATCTTAATGCTATGGTTAGCTTTTACCTTAATGAACGTTAGTAGTTGCAGATGCTTTCTAACAGTTCCAATCATAAGTGCATAGAATTCCAAGTCAGGGATGACATGCTAGCAGTGGCCTCTCCCACATAAAACTTGCTATCGGTCTAGTAAAGTAGTCAATTGCTTAGGGACAATTTCACAACTCCTACCACCACTTTTCCACACTTGTTATACTAACTTTATTGCTTCTTTACCTAAACAGCCCCTACTTTTTATTTACGTGCACTTTATATTCTTGCAAACCTATCCAGAAACACCTACAAAGTACTTCTAGTTTCTTACTTGTTCTAGGTAAAGCGAACGTCAAGCGTGCGTAGAGTTGTATCGGTGGTCGATAGAACTTGAGGAAATATTTGTTCTACCTTTAGCTCCTCATTGGGTTCGACACTCTTACTTATTGAAAGAGGCTACAATTGACCCCCTATACTTGTGGGTTATCAAGACCTTTTTCTGGCGTCGTTGCCAGGGAGCCATAGCGTGGGGTGAGTATTCTCGTGTGTGCTTGTTTGCTTTATCACTAAGTAATTTTTATTTGCTAGTCTAAATTGTTCTCTATCTTTAGTTATGGATATGGAACATGAAATACCAAAACAATTAGGTGTACCTGCTACTCATGGAGATGGGGAACCTCCTAAAACCCTTGCTGCTGGTTATGTGAAAAATATTATGTACTACTTTGATAATCCTGAGAAAACCCCATTCAATTATGTATTGGGAGACACGTTGGATCAACATGAATACTTTAGGGATTATTGCTTGACTCAAAAAGGGAAACTATTATGGGATCAAATTCATATGTTGCATTGGTATGCTCGGGAACTATGCTTGAGATATGATTATACTTGTTGCTCTAGGATGAAGGCTCCACACCTTCCCTTTTCATACAAATTTAATGATGATAAAACCTTGGCTTCTTATGCTAATGGTATATATGACTACTATGATGTGGAACTAATAGAAGAATTTGTTGCTTTTATGGGTGCTTATGAAATTGAATCTTTGTTTAAAGAGTGTGAAAATTTTGATGATTCAGTTTATAGACCTGAAAATTTAGCTATCCTTAAATATTGCTATGATAATTATGAATTCAATTCCGATACTGATGATTTTATTGAGAGAGTCTCTGTTGTCCAAGAAGAGACTAATATTTTGCAGGAGTCTATGGAAGAAGAAATTAATGACATTGTGAGCTCATTGGATGAAAAAGATGAGGAGGAGAGCGAAGAACAAAAGGAGGAAGAACGGATTGATCACCCGTGCCCACCTTCTAATGAGAGCAACTCTTTATCCCATACATTGTTTAATTTCCCTTCATGCTTACCGAAGGATGAATGCTATGATGACTGTTATGATCCCGTTGATTCTTTTGAAATATCCCTTTTTGATGATGCTTGCTATGCTTGTGGCCAAGATGCCAATATGAATTATGCTTATGGAGATGAACTTGCTATAGTTCCTAATGTTAAACATGAAATTGTTGCTATTGCACCCACGCATGATAGTCCTATTATCTTTTTGAATTCTCCCAGCTACACTATATCGGAGAAGTTTACCCTTATTAAGGATTATATTGATGGGTTGCATTTTACTATTACACATGATGATTTTGATAGATATAATATGCATGTGCTTGCTGATCCTACTTGCAATTATTATGAGAGAGGAACTACATCTCTGCCTCTTTATGTTTCAAACACGATTTTTTTGCAAGAAACTGCTTATGATATGTATTGGCCTTTACTTGATGTGCATGAATTGTTCTTGTATGACATGCCGATGCATAGGAAGAGAGTTAGACTTCGTCATTGCTTGATATATGTTACTTTGTGCTCACTACTAAATTACAAATCATTGTTAATTAAATTTGGCTTTGATATACCTTGGGATCCGAGTGGATTCATTACTTGAGCACCATATGCCTAGCTTAATGGCTTTAAAGAAAGCGCTGCCAGGGAGACAACCCAGAAGTTTTAGAGAGTCATTTATTTCTGTTGAGTGCTTTCATATAGTTTAAAAACAAAAAAAATAAAGAGGGGAACCCAAAAAATTTTCAAAAAAGGAAAGTGAAAGTGAGAGAGACAAGCATGATTGAAGTGGGGGAGCTCCTTTAACTTTGTTCATGCTCGCGGAAACTTTGTGAATCTTGATTACAGAAAATTTTCAAGAAAAATAATTATTCCCTTGTACAATTCCATTGTATTATGGAAATAATGTGCGAAGGTTTGCCTTTAGGATGTTTTAGATTACTTGTTGGTTTGTACGGTGCAGGACATAAACTTTGGCTGTAGCGCGCGATTTTACATTTTTTGCTGGAACAT